GGAAGAAGGGGGAGGTGATCGGAAGAAGGGGGAGGTGATCGGAAGAAGGGGGAGGTGATGGGAAGAAGGGGGAGGTGATCGGAAGAAGGGGGAGGTGATCGGAAGAAGGGGGAGGTGATGGGAAGAAGGGGGAGGTGATGGGAAGAAGGGGGAGGTGATGGGAAGAAGGGGGAGGTGATGGGAAGAAGGGGGAGGTGGACAAAGAATGATGGAAACATGCATGTTATATCTGTGTGGCGTAACACGTTACCTCTACCTACTCTGTTAATTTCCAATCAATATTTAGAGTTGCCTCAGCTTCTGATAACCGAAATCAGAAGCTGCCAGGACTCTGAATTTTGTTTGGCTTCCTCGCCCGCTCCAGGAGCTACGGACCGTGTTTATTGGGCGGAAGCCGTGACTATATAAAAGGGCTTGAAAAGTCCTCCTTAGGCTTGTGTAACACGGCACTACATCCACCCCTACAGGAGCTGCCGACCGTGTTTATTGGGCGAAAGCCGTGACTATATAAAAGGGCTTGTAAAGTCATCATTAAGGCTTGCGTAACACGGCACTACCTCTACCCCTACAGGAGCTGCGGACGGTGTTTATTGGGCGGAAGCCGTGACTATATAAAAGAGCTTGAAAAGTCCTTAAGGCTTGTGTAACACGGCACTACCTCCACTCCTACAGGAGCTACGGACCGTGTTTATTGGGCGGAAGCCTAGGCTATATAAAAGGGCTTGAATAGTCTTTAAGACGTACGGTACTTATGTAACACGGCACTACCTCCACCCCTACAGGAGCTACGGACGGTGTTCAACCACTTCGGGTGGCTGCTGACGGCGGCGGTGGGGGCGGGCAAAAGCACCGTGGACACCGCGTACGACCTGCCGGCGCTGGCTAAGGAGCTGGGTGAGTTGGGGGAGCGAATCTCACGGAAAGGAGGAGGATTGTGGGAGCAGTGTAGTCAAGCGGTACTAAGATGGTTGCTGAGAGTCGCGGGTTCGAGCCTCAGGAAAGTTGCGAATATTTTCAGTTGTCACTCGTGGGGCGGCGTAACATAACCAAAACGGAAACCGCGGATCTGTTTTCTGGTGGCTGGTTAAGATTACTTTGTCATAAACTTGCTATTTTTATAACATCTATCTTATTTTTCACGGCATTCTCCCTTTTTAATAGATTTTATTCTTCTAGTATTTAATCGTTTATTCCGAAAACATTTGTTTCTCGGTTACATTTTATCTTTTGTCGTAAACTTGTTTACGACCTACAGACCTGCTGCACCTCATGGCCTAACTTGTTTACGACCTGCAGACCTGCTGCACCTCATGGCCTACGACTACCACGGCAAGTGGGATGGCCTCACGGGGCACAACGCGCCTCTCTACGCCAGGGACGACGAGGCCGAGCCTCAGCGTGTCCTCAACGTCGTAAGTTACGATGTCGTAGATTACGACTTTGTCAGAAAAATGACGTAAAAATTATTTATTTATTCGATTTTTTAATATAACACTTTGACTGCGATTGCTTCATCTCGTACTATTATTTCCTTTGTTGTACTATTATGAAGCAAGATTGCCAGGCAGTCTTTTTTTTCCGGACAAATTCCGCGATTTAGTGTTTTGTCAATTGCTTTGGCCGGCTAAAATTTATGATATGGGTACAGTACTTCCTAGTGAAGTTTAAATAAGAGGGAAATGGAATTTTTACGCCGGAACCCAAAAATATACTAGTATATATTGAGTTATAGACCTTTTTTTGCCGTTTTAGATTCGCGGACTTGGCCATATTTTAGGCCAGCTGGCAGCCCTAAATTATGCACCACTTTACGTCCTGAAGAAATACATTTCGTGGTACACATAAGGCTCAATACGCGGGGAACGTGTTAAATTTAAATTTAATACTTTAATTAAATTTCAATTTCAATTTTTAATGTTTAATTATAAATTAATTATATAATAATTTAAATTATTTAATATTTCAATATAATTTAATAGAGACCCCTCTCTCCCCCCGCTGGAGGTACTTACCCCTTGGTGCGTACCCTCCTAACCCCCTCTCTCTCCCCCCTCGCCCCCGCAGGAGTACAGCGTGGACTACTACCTGAAGGGGGGCGTGCCGCCCTAACCCCCTCCCCCCCTCTCACCCCCAGTGGGTTGTACGTTCCTTCCTAACTCCCCTCTTACCCCCAGCGTGTGATTACGTACCCCCCATAATCCCCCTCTCTCCCCCCGTGGGTGGTGCGTACCCTCCTAACCCCCTCTCTCTCCCCCTCTCCCTCCACAGGAGTACAGCGTGGACTACTACCTGAAGGGGGGCGTGCCGCCCTCCAAGCTGGTCCTCGGCCTCGGCCTCTACGGCAGGACCTTCCTGCTCAAGGTGCTCCATGGGCGCCATTTTGTTCTTGACTTTAATGCTTTTGGCGCCATTTTGTTGATGCTTTTGATGTTTTAGGCGCCATTTTGTTGATTATTTTAATGCTTGAGGCGCCATTTTGTGGATTATAATTACTGATGTTTTACTCTTGTAGTTAGTTGTGGTAATCTAGTTTATATTGTTGATATTTAGGCTATTGTTATTTCAATACAAAAGTTTATAATATCATTGATCAGGCTTCAGTTATTTTCGCAATATCTTTATTATCATGGAGCAACCGCATTAATTTTATTGTTGCTATTACTAATGATCTAATAAATATTTACTAAGCAGCTAATATAATCATCTTACTAATGTTACTAATCATCTTATATAGGTAATCATTATAATGACCTCTCCCCCCCCCCAGGACGCCAGTAACCCCGCCATCGCGGCCCCAGCGCTGGGCTCGGCCTTCGCTGGCCCCTACACGCGCGAGGACGGCTTCCTGGGCTACAACGAGGTGCCTGGGGCCAACCTTTGGGCGACCGTTGAGGGTCCTTTAGGCGACTCTAGGGCGACCCTTGGGCGATACTGGAGGCGACCGTAGGGTGTCCTTTAGGCGATTCTAGAGCGATCTTTGGGCGACACTGGGGGCGACCGTAGGGTGTCCTTTAGGCGATTCTAGGGCGACCCTTGGGCGATACTGGAGGCGACCGTTGGAGGTCCTTTAGGCAATTCTAGGGCGACCCTGGGGCGACCCTTGGAGATCCTTTAGGCAATTCTAGGGCGACCCTGGGGGCGACCCTTGGGGGTCCTTTAGGCGATTCTAGGGCGACCCTTGGGCGATACTGGAGGCGACCGTTGGGGTCCTTTAGGCAATTCTAGGGCGACTCTTGGGCGATACTGGAGGCGACCCTTGGGGGTCCTTTAGGCAACTCTAGGGTGATCCTTGGGCGACACTGGGCGACCCTTGAGGGTCCTTTAGGCGATTCTAGGGCGACCCTTGGGCGATACTGGAGACAACCCTTGGGGGTCCTTTAGGCAAGTCTAGGGCGACCCTTGGGCGATACTGGAGGCGACCCTTGGGGGTCCTTTAGGCAACTCTAGGGCGACCCTTGGGCGATTCTGGAGGCGACCCTTGGGGGTCCTTTAGGCGATTCTAGGGCGATCTTTGGGCGACACTGGGGGCGACCGTTGGGGGTCCTTTAGGCGATTCTAGGGCGACCCTTGGGCGACACTGGGGGCGACCGTTGGGGGTCCTTTAGGCGATTCTAGAGCGATCCTTGGGCGACACTGGGGCGACCCTAGGGGGTCTTTAGGCGATTCTATAGGGCGACCCTTGGAGGGTCCTTTAGGCGATTCTAGGGCGACACTAGGGCGCGTTGGGGGTCTTTTAGGCAGTTCTAGGGCGACCCTTGGGCGATACTGGAGGCGACCGTTGAGGGTCCATTAGGCAGTTCTAGGGCGACTCTGCACACACTTGAATATAAAATTTTGAACCTTTGGATCTGAACGTTTGGATCTGAACCTTTGGATCTGAACCTTTGGATCTGAACCTTTGGATCTGAACCTTTGGATCTGAACCTTTGGATCTGAACCTTTGGATCTGGGATCTAAACCTTTGGATCTGAACCTTTGGTTCTGAACCTTTGGATCTGAACCTTTGGTTCTGAACCTTTGGATCTGAACCTTTGGTTCTGAACCTTTGGATCTAAACCTTTGGACTGAACCTTTGGAATTTCAGCCTTTGTATCCCTAGAACCTCAATGTTTCTAAGTTAAACGATGAATTTTAATCATTGAAATAAAACTATGAGATGCGAACCCCGTAATTTTTATCACTATCATTAGTCCGATTGTTTACTAGCCTCAGAGGCTTGACGATTTACCCTCAAAAACATTAGGCCGTTACCCTCTAACGCAACCTTATTCCTCCTAAAGTAACCCTATATCCCCTAAAGTAACCCTATACACCCTGAAATAACCCTATACCCCCTAAAGTAACCCTATACCCCCTAAAGTAACCCTATACCCCCTAAAGTAACCCTATACCCCCTAACCTAACCCTACCCTGCCCTCCACCCCTCTAAAATAACCCTATTCCATATAAAGTAGCCCTATGCCCTCTAAACTAACCCTATACCCCTTAAAGTAACCCCATTCCCTAAATAACCCTATTCCCAGAAGTAACCCTATATACCCTCTAAAGTAATCCTATTCCCTAAATAACCCTATTCCCTAAGTAACCCTACCCCCCCCCCTAGGTGTGCGAGAAGCAGGTGGCGGGGGCGGGCGAGTGGCGGGTGGTGTGGCAGAAGGCCCACCAGGCCCCCTACATGTTCCGGGACAACATGTGGGTCTCCTACGACGACGACAACTCCCTGGGCCTCAAGGTGGGTCCCTGGGCCTCAAGGTGGGTCCCTGGGCCTCAAGGTGGGTCCCTGGCCCTCAAGGTGGGTCCCCGGGTCTGAAGGTGGGCCCTCATGACACTTCCTGGGCCTCAAGGTGGGCCCTTATGACAATTCCTGGGCCTCCAGGTGGGTCCTTACGACACTCCCTGGGCCTCAAGGTGGGTCCCTGGGCCTCAAGGTGGGTCCCTGGGCCTCAAGGTGGGTCATCCCTGACACACCTCACGCCGTAAAGTGGGTTTGCTGAAGTTGGACACACTTTAAGGCGTGGGCGTAGAATTAACGAGACGAACCGCTGTACTAATAGATCGGTATACTTTAGTATATAATATGATATAACATTATATTGTACAATATAATATAATATCATATAATACACCATATTATATAACCTAACTTCTCCCCCCTGCAGGTGGCGTTCGCACAGTCCCGGCAGCTGGCCGGGGTGATGGTCTGGTCCATAGACACCGACGACTTCAGGGGGCGGTGTCCCGTGCACCCGACGCCAAGCCCGTGCCTGACCACGACGTCGAGTACGACAACACGCTCGACGATACACGGTACGTGTCACGGGAGACACGGTACGTGTCACGGGGACACGGTACGTGTCACGGGCTAATACGGTATGTGATTAGTATGATGAGCTACTTGGGTAGCGGGGGTTACTGAAGACTAATGCAAACCGCGATCCCAGTAACTCACATATAGCCTGGTCATCTCCGACAATGACTTCGTTATCCTTCAGAGGGTCCCACTGGCGTCCTTATTTTAGCCTTGGACTTGGCGTATTTGGAATAAATACTTCCGGTTCTGTGTGACAAAATGTGACAAAATATAGTCACGGCTGTTCCTTTTTTCCATAAATGAGAAAATGCGCTAAATAGCGCCGTAGGTAGCCTCTGGTCCCCCGCGTGCGTCCCTGTCCCATACGCTTGGGCCACTACCAGGAGTAGCTAGGTCATTCATCCTTCTCCAAGAACTACCCTCCTCACCGCTCCTTCTACCAGCGTTTCCCGCAACCCTATCACTGCCCTGTCTTTCCTGTGATGGTAGGGGCCTGTGAGGGTGTGTTGGTGGGTCATAGCGTCCAGCAGGAGCCTTTTTAAGCGCATTTTCTCACTTATGGAAAAAAGTGCACTATTGTGCTCGCCATGTCCGTCTATCCGCATGTCCGTCCGTCCGTCCGTGACCTCAAGTTTTCGTCGACGAGAAAATGCGCTCTCTGTCACTCACTGCAGTGAGTACTGAGTTATATTTTTTTAGGGTTTAGGTCAGGTCAAGTCAGGGGCCGTATTATCAAAACTTCGTAAGTACGTAAAATGGACTTACGAGTGGCGTTGCTATGCCAACGTAATACTAGCGGTGGTATTATAAAAACATTTGCGCGGGAAAAACATTTACGCTTTTAGCTAAGACTTGCGTACGAAAGTATTGATAATGCCAAAATTAGGGTGTATTTACGTACCATAGAACTTTTGTGTCGTAAGTACAAAAAGTTACGAAATTTTGATAATCTGGTTCGGTTAGTTTAGGCACTGACGTGCCCCTCTGAAACGTTCCCTCCCCACGCATCACAGATAAATACGATATTTTTCAACATCATTCTAATCATTTTATCTTATAAAAATGTTAATATAAATTATAAATAAACATATAAATGATATTATAGCCCTGCATCTTAACCCCCGACCCCCGCAGGCCGGAGTTTGTGGGGGCGACGAGCGACGCGTCGTCGCTGCAGAGCTTCGCCCTCTTCTGTGTATTGGGTTGTGTTGTGTCTTAATGTCTTGTAATGGTTATCTCTGGCTTGAGAGTGTAGTAGAGTTAGTGGTGCGATCAGTGGTCCTGGGGTGGAAGGGGATGCTACCCCTTAAGGCATCTCCCTTCCCCTAGCAGTCATCCCCTCCTTAGGTACCGCTTCCCTCTAACTGTAACCCCCGCCTCCCCAAGTCCCCCTCTTCTCACTGTAACCTCCGCCCCCCAGGTACCCCCTCCTGACCGCCATCAACAAGGCCCTGGGCCGCAAGGTGGTCCCGTCGGCCCCAGGCCCCGGGGAGGTCATCCCCATCACCCCAGGCGTCACCCCGCCCGTACGCCCCACTCCCCCCGTGCGGCCCACCTTTAAATTCTTGTTATCATACACAAAATGTTTGTTATCACTTAAATTCTTGTTATCATACACAAAATGTTTGTTATCACTTAAATTCTTGTTATCATACACAAAATGATTGTTATCAATGAAATTTAAATTTGCTACAATGCCCTGGAAATAGGAATTGTGTAAAGAACACAAAAGGATAATTCGATATTTTATTTTATAAGTTGATCGTTCATTCTATTACATGTATTGATAGATCATATTTATTAATGCCGAAAAGACTGTGGACATAAAGGAAAAAATCTGTATCTCTTTAAATTTCAGCGTAAATTTCAATATTGTTGCCCAGTTTTTAAATTTTAAGCTGAATGCGATATACTTTATGGCACCTAAAGTGTTTACCCTTGGGGATAAAACTTTTCAGTCTCAAGATATTCTCTTGGATTCTTATATTCCCCCCCTGGGGTTGATATATTTATTTGGTGTGGGAAGCATGCTGCTAATCCCCTAATTGACAAATTCCCCAGCTGGGTGGGAATTTCTTCTGGAAGTGGGCACCTCCAAAAATCAGTGTCCCTCCCACCAAAAGAAAAAAAATTTCAAATAAACCTTAAATTTTTAGCCCAAAAAACTTTCCATCCCATAAACTCTCCCCCCCGGAAATACTTCCCACCACAACCAAAAATAAATCTGAAAAACAGAAATTTTTACCGAAAAAATTCCATAAAAAATGTCCGCTAATCCCCATCCCCCCCCGCAGGCCGGGCAACACGGGCAAGGCCCCCGCCAAATATGTCCCCAAGAAGACCAACACGGGCGAGACCGACGCCATCCCCGCCATCGGGGACAAGAAGTCTCAGTAACGTCGGGGACTTAGGGACGTCCGTGGCCCCAAGGGGGACTTTGGACGCCTCCCCCGCCGTCGGGGACACCAAGTCCCAGTAACGTCGGGGACTTGGGGACGTCCGTGGCCCAAGGGGGACGTTGGCTGCCCCCGGGGGGACGTCGGCTGCCCCCTGGGGACGTCGGCTGCCCCCTGGGGACGTCGGCTGCCCCCGGGGGACGTTGGCTGCCCCCTGGGGATGTTGGCTGCCCCCCGGGGGACGTTGGTTCCCCCAGGGGACGTTGGCTGGCTGCCCCCCTGGGGACGTTGGCTGGCTGCCCCCCTGGGGACGTCGGTTGCCCCCGGGGGACGTCGGCTGCCCCCTGGGGACGTTGGCTGCCCCCCGGGGGACGTTGGCTGCTCCCTGGGGGACGTCGGCTGCCCCCTGGGGACGTCGGTTGCCCCCGGGGGAAGTTGGCTGCCCCCTGGGGACGTTGGCTGCCCCCTGGGGACGTTGGCTGCCCCCTGTTGGCTGCCCCCCGGGGGACGTTGGCTGTCCTCCTGGGGGCGTTGGCTGCCCCCTGGGGACGTTGGCTGCCCCCTGGGGACGTTGGCTGCCCCCGGGGGACGCGGGGACGTCCCCCTTCCTCCCCATTCGCCCGTGCCAAACATATCTTTAAGAACCGGGCAGAATGTTTATTAATAATTCTAATATTATCACAAATTCCGAATATATATATCAAATAAAAACAATTTGTTTAAATTCAGAGGTATATCTATTAAATAATATATATTTCATATAGTATGTATATTAAATTGAAGAAAAATATAATATAACTCAAAGAATTTATTGTAAAGTTGCATAATAAAGTTACTACCGTTACCTGCCTTGTGTTACTTACCTATAATGTGCTGGTATTGAAAGTACAATATTCATTGTACAATAATTTGTTGTACAATAATTGTATTTATTCATTCATATTCATATTTCATAATTCATTGTACAATAATTCATTGTACAATAAGTTATCCTTCACAAATGTCATCCCTTGATAACATAATATATTAGAAATGAAATATAATATATTATAATACATATTACAATATATATCATAATCATAACATAATAAATCATTATGCGAGCCCCTGAACACATTACAATGCATTCCTATACGACATATACGGTCACATATATAAGTTAAATTTCTAAACTTAACAAGCGCGAAGTTACTAAACATTAATTAAAGGTAATTAATACATTAAATACATATTAATTGTTAATAATTAATTAGGAATACATTATTAAATTGTATATTAACGGGATGATTTAAATGAGGAACTTCGGTTAACTGAAATTGATTATTTAAATAATTAAAATAAATAGGGAATCAATTTTTCTATTAAATGACAATAATTTTAATTACGTATGTGGCTAATGAGCGTGGCATGAATGTGGCATGGCCACGACATGAATGTGGCATGACCACGGCATGAATGTGGCATGACCACGGCATGAATGTGGCATG